AATTCTTTCTAATTGTTCCCACATTGTGTGGACCTAGAACTGGCCAGACTTAGGCATCAGTCAAAGAGATGGACTGAGCTAAGGTGAAGCAAGAGGTTTCACTGAGCCAAGGAATGAGGGGAACCATATAGGATGCTAACGTCATGGGGACACAAAGCCAGAGCTCCTACACAGTGCATGACCCCAATAGGTGTTCAGTGCACTGTGATTGGATGAGTAAGCAAATGAATGACTGAGTAAAGACCTGAGGTGAAAACTTCAGGAGGAATGCTTGGAAGTGCCACATCTGTGAATGGTATAGCAAGCAAAGCATGGAGGGTTAGCACAAAGATATAGAAAATCAGGGTCGGTTGGTGGGGACATAATGCTGTGGCTACATAGCACCATGTTCCCTTCCTCTGGTAACAGACTTTGGTTTTCCCCTTTCTTCACTGCATGCAGTAGGACTGCCAATCAAGGTGATCCTGGCAATGTCTGGCATATCATCCCAACCAGGCCAATTAGTCCTTCTCTCTCATGAGAATTTGAGCCTTGAGCAGAGTGACAAAGGGACAGAAAATCCTGGTTGCTGATTCATCCCACCAGTGATGACTTGAACAGACTGCCCATCATTTCCTGCTGCTTTTTCCACCAGAACTGGCCTGGTTCTGTCTCCTCAAAGCTTTGGAGTCAAGCATTTCCTATGAACCACCTCCTGTCCTTGTAATGAATTTCTTTTTTTTTTTTTTTAAGTTTATTTATTTTTTGAGAGAGAGGCAGTGCAAATGGAGGAGGAACAGAGAGAGAGGGAGAGAAAGAGAATCCCAAGCAGGCTCCACATTGTCAGTGCAGAGCCCAAAGAAGGGCTTGAACTCACAAAACCATGAGATCCTAATTTGAGCTGAAACCAAGAGTCCGGTGCTTAACTGCTTGAGCCACCCAGATGCCCCATGAATTTCTTTTTTAAATTTAGATTAGCCAGAGTGATTTCTGTCATTGGTAACCAGATAATCCTAAATAATATAAGATCAAAGGTCAAGAATGTTGGAAGTGGCAGGGTCTTAGACAGTTTCCAAGGTATCTCTCTAGAAATTATGGTTTACCATGTGCCTGATGTGTGGGAGAATCTGCCTGGTTTTGAGACCAGGAGAAATGACACCAGTAAGTCCCTCCCCAAGAATTGCTCATAAGCAATGAGTCAGTAGGGTGGGGGCAGCCAGTGAGAGCTTTCTCCAGGACATTTGTGTCTCCAGACTCAAAGCCTCAGGCCCACCTCAGATCCACTGGGCCAGGACATTCCTAAGAGGGGCCTGGGATACTCAGGGGGGCAGCACCGATGGGACATAAATGCCTTCAGTGTAATAACCACAGCAAGAGATTTTCCTTCTGCTTCCACCAGAGACTGACAGCCCAGCCAGCAGGACGTGCAGGTTCATATAAGAAACTACTTGACAGGTTTCTCCAGGAAATTCTCTCTCCAGCTCTCTCTTTATCAAGTAAAATCCTCCCACACCTTTGTCAGACAGCATTTTTAAAGAGCATGGCTGCTTCATTGTCCCACTCCAAGGAGCTCTGAAGTCTCATTTGAGAGAAAGACTAAGACAGAGAAAGAGGGAAGGAGACAGGGAGCAAGAACGAGGAAGGGCAGGTGATGGGGGAGGGAGTCAGACTCTGAGCATCACATCAAGTCTCCTCTGATGATGGACCGGACAGGAAAGGAACTGGAGAAATGATTCAGTTGGACAGGGAAAAGCAGCCAGTTCACCTAATGAGCTAAAGTCATTAGCAGAGTGCAAGAGTCAGGAGGTGCATCCACTTGGCTTTTTGGCTCCCAGGGCCGGAATCCTGTTCCAGCCCCTCACCAAGATTACATAGGATTAATATTAGGATACAGGGCAGAATAGAGAAAGCTGGCCAGCTCCACTTTAAGACCCAGGATGGATACAGGGGGTTTGGGGACAACTCCAGCAGCTGGATCTTATGTTACTCCCTCACTAGGGCTACCCTTTACTCCCTAGCCCCAAGTGTCTCCCATCACATATCATGAGATATGTGATCTCATCTCTGCCCCCACCATTCCCACTGCCACCACCTTTTGTTCTCCCTATGCTTTCTGTCCCTTCATGTCTTTCACTCTTTTCTCTCTGTGGCTCTTTGTCTCACACTCCACCTTCTACCAACTTCTCAGTTGTTACAGCTTAAGTTCAAAGTCCTCAAAAGGGAAGCTATGATAGATTTATCCAATGGTCATAAGTATAGGAAACTCTGACTTGCAGGACTTGCACACCAAACTTTTTTCTGGTTTGCTGGCCTGCCTGGGGACTGGCTCCCCCCTGGCTGATCCAACCAGCTACAGCCAGGGTAGCTGGGTCATGTGGTATAGGACAGGTCAACTAGCTGGAAATAACCTTCAGAAGAAGGTGAGGTGGGACTGCCTGGGGCTGTGTAACTGGAGGCCGGTGTGCTCTACCTGTCAGTCACTGTTGCAGAGACCCCCACCCAGTGGGCACCAATCAGTGACATCAAGACCCAGAATAGCCATGGTGCTGGCACAGCAGCCACTGGCCAGTGAACAAAAAAAGTCTGAACATGCAAAGACAGTCAGTCATCTGAGATGTCAGAACTGTAAAAGACCAAAAGGACCAGTCAGTCGAAATTTCTCCTTTTAATCAAGTGGCCATTTAAACCTGCAGATTAGGTGAGAGGAACAGCCAAGGCTGGAGCTTCTGATCTAAGCAAGCAGATGATGAGAAGAAGCTGCCCACTCTGGCTTCAGGGTCCTCGTCTATACAATGGGATGATAACAGTGCCAACCACATGGGGCTGCAGAGAGAGGAGGTTAAGATCACATACAGATGGCCTGCTCAGCATCTGGGCCACAACAAAGGCTCCATTTGGTTAGTCTTTTTAAAGTGATTTTCATCCACATTAAAATAATTTTTATTTCAAATTTAATATTTTATGAAAATGGTGATTAATACTATTAGCCAGGCCCATCTCTCAGAGAAACAGATCTGAGCAGAGTGGGAAATAACTCAGAAAGAGACTCCACCAAGAACGCAAACCTCAGTCGGCCTCTCCATCCTTCCCTTTGTTCGCACCAAGAAATCCCCCCTGTTGGGGCATATGAAGAAGGTTATAACAAGAGTCACATTGAAAATTATTAATCCTCTGTTTTCAGCTGTTGCAAGGTAATGTTCTTCTTACCGAGTTGCCTGAAGCCAAGTTGGCTGACCTCTGGGGTAGGACTTTTCCACTGCAGTGACAGTGGCATTCTCCTGGAAGAGGAGCAGCCTCAAGCTACAAGAATGGGGCCAGGGGTCCCTCCCACTGGGCTACATTGTGTTTCCTCCTCACTGTGTCCTGACCAGATGACAGCCACTGACAGATGCTGGAGGTGGGGATGGTGGGTGGCAGCAGAAATGTTGCTAAAAAACTAGCAGCTCTTGGTAGTGGAGGCACTTTCTAGAAGCTATGTTGGCATTGCAGACATGGAGAATGGTCAGTCTGCCCCCTTCCCTATAGCACCAGAGGCTGTTAGAAGAGGGGATCTTAGATTCTTTACTGCTAACCCTAACCGGTTGCAAAGAAAACAGTCTTCTTCAGCATGTTTTTTCTATGAAGCCAGGTCCCTTTCTTTTCTATGTCTTCTTTCCTTCAATCATTCTCTTCCCCTATTTCCCTGTCCCTTTATGTCCTCTGGTTTTTAACTGAGTTGACTTGTCTGCAGTCCCAACAGAGGCATAGAATCCAAGAGCAGAACCTCTTCATGCACAAGAGAAGCCTGAGGCCCAGAGAGAGGAAGGAACTTGCCAAGGTTACACAGTAAGTAGTGACAGAGATGAGGTCTTCAGGTAAGGCCCTGATCTCAGGTGCATCCCCCAGCAGGAAATGTGCCTCATCTGAGTTCTACCTAACACTACTTCTGCTCAATGCTAATAGGGATGAAGTCCAAGTGAAGAGGTCTGTGGCCAATTATCATGGGTAGCCCTGGGGTTGGACAAGGTTAAACATGCTTGCTTGGTGCAGGATTTCTCAGAGCCTTTGATATGTTATGGTACATAGGACATTAGGGTAGTTTAAGGAGGGAGGTATTCTGGGACATACAGTATTTTCCAAACTTATTTGACCTTTCCCTTTTCCAGTGACCATCTTGCAGCCCAACATCCAGCAAACCACATTGGAATACAGCGTGCCACAATGATGGTGCTTCATGACCCAGCCCCAAGAATGGATACCCCTTTTGAAGTGTCTACCCAGAGGAGAAGCACCTCCATCCACACCAAGAGACTGGGCTGTGTTCCTGGAAACATGAGCCTTTATAAGTGAAGCTATAGTGTAAAACAAATTCAAACATAAAAAAGCTTTTTCTTTCACCTGATTTTTGTTCTGGAGCTCTACATTTAATGAAATATTTAATGAAATATCAGGGTGGAAGGGGCAAAGAGAGGAAAGGTTGCGCTGCTCCCAAGAATACACCACATTTCAGTCCAAAGCAAATTAAGTCAGGGGCTCTTTAGACTCAAGTCCCGGGATGAGAAGCAGAGAGTAGGCTAACGGGTTCTGGGCTGAGCCCCAGCCAACTGTGGTAATAAAACACAGCGCATAGACATAGAGGCTTTGGAACAAAAATACCTTGTAGCTATTATACTCACGAGTCTCTCTGCCCATCTGCACACCCCCTCTTCCATTCTTTTAATCTGGAGCTACTGAGAATCAGTATTTTTCTCACCTTTGTAATATGAGAAACAAGTTAATTAAAATCAATCCCAACTCCAGTCTCAGAGCGTCCCTGCTTTGGCTGCAGATCCATCAACAGTGTGTTTTGATAGCAGTGCACGAAGGTGGTTATTCGGAGACACTGATAATTGCATTAATTTAGGAGGCATTAGCTAAGCCCTACAATTAATTACACAGGGAGCAGACAGAGCTGTAACCCACCAGATCGCTGAATGAATAAGATAGAAACGTCAGCTCCTTTTTATCCAGATCCAAACACTCAGAACACTCAAATAACCAACCTGTTTTCACTGCTCGCAGATGTCTTAACAGTGACCTTGAGACACTGAGGCCTTGAAGGTCTTTCTGAATCCTGAAAGAGAGATTAGAGGGCTATTTGAATAATGTTCATGTTAAGGGAATTTTATTGGACTCCATCTTTTTGAAAGCTGCTCATTTATGAGGGATATTTGTGACACATCTCATGGAATCAGAATCTCTAGCTAATTAGTTTTGATCCCATTTCTTCATTCCTTGACAAATCTGAGATGAATAGAAATTAGAAATCCTCTCTCTCCCCACCTCTCTCTTTCTAACCCCTCCCCACTTTTCACAATACACACACACACACACACACACACACACACACACACAGATTAATGTATATGCACATACCTTTCCTATTAATATAAAAATTACATACATGTACAGTTAACCCCTGAACAATGTAAGAGTTAAGAGCTCTGACCTCCTGCACAATCAAAATCTGTGTATAATTTTGAATCCCCAAAACTTAACTACTAAGAACCTATTGTTCACCAAAAGCCTTACTGATAACATAAACAGTCAATTAACACATATTTTGGATGTTACATGTTTTATACATCATATTCTTATAAAAATGTAAGATAGAGAAAAGAAAATGTTATTTAAATAATCATAAGGAAGGTAAAATACATTTACAGTACTGTCCTGTATTTATTAAAAAAAAAGTCCGTATATAAGTGGACTCATGCAGTTCAAGGCCAGTTGTTCAAGGGTCAACTGTATATACATACATAAATAGTAAAAAAGAAAAAATGAGAAAATAAGTGAAGACTTAGTCTGAGCAAAATAATTTTAAATATAGAGAAGGCAGAGGACTATGTGGGGAGGTGGGAGGAGTTTTCTGCCGCTGTCAGAGTCCTATAGTCCCTTCTCCTCACCTACTAAATTATACACATTTCTTAGGGCCCAAAACTCAAGAGCCTTGCTTTTTCTTGAAGAGTTCACAAATGCCTGCTTGGAATGCCAGAGGTCTGGGCTTCAGGTAAATTTTAGGCATATTTTCTGGCCCATAAGTGAAATGTGAGCCAATACTAACATAAGCAACTGGCCAGGGTGTGGCCTCAGAAAGGACCCCTTGAGATGGGTGTTAACCTGGTCTTGCAGATGGGAAACCAAGACTTAGAGCTGTGTCATAACTTGTGCAGCACTCACGACTGCCCAACTCCAAGCCCAGGCTCTTGGCCATACTGCTGCCCAGCCCTCCAGGCACAGACTGTCAGTGCCCAGTAGGCAGAGAATGACTCAACCCTGCTCAGGTTCTGAGAACTGCTTTCTCCATGGAGCCATGGAGACCCTCTGGGGACCATGTGGTTTGAGAAGTACATTCTTTGGGTGCAGTCTCACCACTGGGTATGGAAAGGAAACAAATTTTATGTGTATTACTCAAGTAATATATGAGTGCATTCTCATTATAAAAGCTTCAAATGATCAGAAGTGTGCCAGGAAACCCCAGATGGCCATTTGTCCACCCTTACTCCCTCTCTTCTCCCCAGAGCCTACCACTGTTAACAGTTTGGATCATGCATCCTTCTGATCATCTCTATGGACATCTACAAAAATCAAAGTTATGTTCTGTTTTATGAGCACACTGCCTTTTATAAGATGCTTCTTTATTTAATAATATACCTTGGAAATCAGTTCACAGTAGCATATATAGATCTACCTCCTTCAATGCAGCCTATTCCAATATTGCTTTTACCAAACCATCTTATAAAATACCTGTTTGTGAACACATGCAAGTAGATTGGCAGGGTGGCTTCCTAGAAGTGAAATTTCTAGGTGATACAGATTGAAATATGTCCCACACCCCAGTTTCTCATGTTGTAGTCCTAACCCTCAGTACCTCAAAATGTGAATTTATTTGGAAATGGGGTCATTGAGAGTGTAAGGAGTTAAGATGAGGTCATTAGGGTGGGGCCTAATCCAATGGGGCTGAAATTCCTTATAAAGGGGAAATTGGGACATAGAGACAAGCCCACAGGGCTTATGCCATGTGAAGATGATGTCAGAGATTGGGCTGGTATCTCTGCAAGCCACACAAAGCCAAAGATTGCCTGCACACCATAAGAGGCTAGGAGAGAGGCACAGAGCAGATTCCCTCTCACAACCTTCAGAAGGAGCAAATTCTGCCAACACCCTGATCTTGCACTTTCAACCTCCAGACAGGTAAGACAATAAACTTCTGTTGTTTAAACCACCCAGTTGTTGGTACTTTATTATGGCAGCCTTAGCAAATATGCCATTTATGTACGTTCAAGTTTGGTGTATAGTGCCAGATGGCTCCCCACACCAAAAAATTGTTGTCATTTCACAGTCCCAAATAGAGTATGAGATGGTGAGAGGCTTCAGACCCAGCAGGTACCATATGCATATGCATCACCAGTCGTAAAAGCCCTTGTCACCTTTGTGAACTGCATGAGTCCTGCTTAGTACTGGCACTGAGTCTGTTCTGATTTCACTCCCACCAATTTGAGCCTTCTTAGCGATATTATCACAACCTTTTGGGTGGTAAGGTGAAGAAAAGTGCTTCGCTACAAATCCGTATAGGCTAAGACCAAAGAAGCAATAAAGGTAGGGAATGCTCAAGGTTCAGAAGACGGAGAACTCACTCCTTGCTGGCATGACCTATGGAGAAATGGACCCCAGAGCTTGGGAGGATGGAAGTATTCTCTGCCCACTGGGCACCAAGAATCTGTGCCCAGAAGGCGACACTATGGCCAAGAGCCTGGGCTTTGGAGATGGGCAGTCCTGAGTGCTGCACAAGTTATGACACAGCTCTGAGCCTCAGTTTCTCATCTGCAAGACCAGGTTAATACCCATCTCAGGAGGCCCCTTCAGAAACCACACCATGGCCATACAAATGTGAAGACTTCCCTCCATCGTATCCTCAGGTTTATATTTGCCATGTATCTGACATGACTGTTTTCTTCAAAAAGAAAAAAAGAAAACCCAGAAGATGATGACAGTCGGGGCCAGACTGACACTGCCCTCTCTTCTCTGGCCCACAGTGAGGTTTAGTGATGGGTCAAGGGGAGTGGTGAGGCACCTTTCTGATGTGTTTTGAGAGAATAGTAGAAATGATAAGTGGCTCCAGAATCATGTAAAATATGCTGAAGGGGCCACATTTGCATTAAGTTTTGTGATTATTACATGAAAGTACACTGAATCCACTTAACAGATAGGGTTCAAACTTGTCCCTGTAGGACATCTAGGGCCATAGAAGTATCCGTGGAACTTGATGTGTATGGTAAATATAGACAATATCAGGAGCAGGGTGTGATGGGGGTCCCATCAGCAAGTTCAGGGACTTTTCTGCCAAACTGTTAGAGAGGGAAGTATTGCATAACCAAGGTTGTCTGGTTGCAAGTGACAAAGATCAGCTCATGTTGTCTCAAGCAGGGGAGGAGATTTATGGTCATTGTCATTTGGTCTCTGTCCCCTTCCATCTTCCAACTCTGCTTACTTTGGTTTCAATTCTATTCAGGCAGGCTCTTCTGTGATGGGAAAAAAACTCACTCAATGAGTCTTGGTTTATACGCTCCTCTAAATAACTCCAGTGGAAATCACAACTATCCACGAATCTTATTGGGTCAGCTTGGATCATGTGCCCATCCTGAACCAGTCAGTATGACCAAAGGGATAGGGAATATGCTCACTGACCGCCAGCAGCACATGGCAGTTCAGGCTTGGGAAGTAGGACTGAGAGTTTGAGAGGTTTTGGGGAGTGGAGAGGACCTAATAAACAACACTCCTTTTCTCTGCCTGAGTTCAGAACACTTGAGAGATGGATTCAGGGTCAGGCAGACAGAGCTCAAAACATCACAATTATTACTGGTAAAACTAGGCACATGGAATGTTGCTTCAGTGTTCAACAACAGGCTTCTAAATACTAAAATCCCAGAAAGAGCCAGCCTATCACAGGCAGAACTGGATAACTGCAAGTGTCCCCCCTTGGTGTCCTAAGAATCATGGACACCTAAGCTTATAGAATCATGGCTTAGAAGAGAAAGAGCTATGTGTTCCCTGAGAGAGAAGTGGGGGTGCCCTTCCCTCAATGTACCAAACAGGTAAGTCTCTCCTTCTCCCAGGGGAGGGATGAAGAATAAGGGGGAGGCCAAGAGAGTTACTGTGGTGGAAGCCCCTCTCCTTGGAAACAAGAAGAGTGAGAATTAAAAGCCCTGCCCCTTGCCCCATAATAGATGGGGTTCCGCAACAGGAAAATTGGGCAATGGTGCAAAGGAATTAGAATGGTCTCAAAGCCAATAACAGCAGCAGTTCTGTGACAGGCATAAAAGAAGAAATGTCTTCACCCATTCTCTTTCTTAAGGATGCGGATTAATAGTCACACCAAGGTGTATACTCAACATGTCTACATTTATAAATGGAGTGACATAGTCCAATCTGACTTTGACATAATCAAAATCTCAGATTGTTTATAGAATCCTTTGTATGTGAAAAATTCAAAGGAAAACAGAATCAGTCACCAGTGTGGTCTGGGGCCAGTCCTAAAAATCACAGGTGGCCTCACCCAGAGTTCCAGAAATGGACTCAAAAGAACTGGGCTCTGGCTCAGCATCTGGACCTGCAGGGTGCTCTAGGACAAAGACCCTCCCCCTCCAGAACTTCTGTTGCCTCCTATGAAGAGGATTCTAACCTGGAGGCCCAGTTGACCTCATAGTGTGGTTAGGGTCACATAGGACAAAAGGAAAAGCACTTCTAATGATAATAATAGTTAGCATTGGAAGCATTTATCATGTGCCAAATACTGTTCTAACAGCTTCACATGAGTTAACCCCTCTAATCTTTAAAACAGCCCTACAAAGTAGATGCTCTTAGTGTAATTGCCATCTTATAGATGAGGACACCGAGATACAGAGCAGTTGGGAAGTTTGCCCAAGGCCTTGCAGGCTATAAAGGATGCTGCTGCTGTGGTCACAAACAAGGTAGTCACTGTTGACAGGAGAGCCCAGGGTAGTAGCCAAAAGAAGAATGGTCAGACAGATGGGGTCAGTGGCCATGCTGGCTTTATGTCTTCTCACAGAGGAG